AAAATTAAAACAAAAATAATGGGTAAAAATTAAAAGAAGAGAAGTTGCATTAAGTGTTGGCATAGTTAGTGATCAAAAGTGTCAAGATGACTGTTCCCTCTGGGGGAGAGGGGATCCCCAGGAACTGGATGCTACATGCGGAAGTTCCTTACCAGAGATGTTGAAGTTCTTAATGTGATAATGACTTAAAAGACTTCTTTGCTACTGTTAAAGCTAATGATCAGCTCATTGTGTAGAGACTTCTACAGTCCATTGTTGTATTTCTTTTTTCTCCCCCACTCCCAAAGAGAAACAGAACCAGGAGGTCTAGAACCTTTGTACTAACCCCAGCTCTGCCAGCTTGGCTACTGGCTGAATGTTGAAAGAATAATTTAAAGTTTGTCTGTTTCAAAGTTTTCATCTTTTAAAAAGAGGTCTAGCTGTCTTACTACCTAATGTGGGTTTTAGTGATCACATTAGCTTTAATTTAAAATGATTAAGAAATTAAAGCATATGTGCATCTACAACTTATGACGGCTATACTGCAAGTCCTATTTACTATTTATCTGAGAACTAAACCTTTTTTTGACATTTCTTGTCCCTGGATTCCTTTTCAGCTTGCTTAGAATTTATGGTATTTTTTTGTTTTTGGGTTTTGCTTGTTTTATTTATTTTACAAAATACAGGCAATTTTATTTTACATAATACAGGTAATGTGCTAGCTGCTGTTATCATCACTGTTGGAAAACAGAATGTGGAAGGAGATAACATTTTTCTCAAGGAGTTTGTTGTCACTTAAAGATATCTGTCATTATATCAATAATGTAATGCAAGACCAAGTATTTGAATGCCTTAAGAGTACTTCAGATAAAATCCTTATAGAAGACCACAGGACAGTGAGAATTCCAAAATATTTCCAAGTTACGAAAGCAGGGTGGTCGTCTTTCTTATTCCCAACTCTGCTGGGACTCCATACAAGCTAGTTTATGAATCTGTGAACTGGTGTTGAGATGTGGTTTATTTGTACAAAGTCCAATTTTTAGCCCATATTCATTAGACCTAAGAAAAATAGTATGATCTTCCCCTATTTTTTTCTTACAGAGGAAGAAAAAAGTGAAACTCGGAAAGGTCAAGTACAAGTCATAAACTGTTATGTAAGACACTGTAGCTACCTAGAGTTGAATGTGTAAAACAAGGCTTATTTCAAAAAATGACTTATTGTCATGGTTGGTTTTCTAGGTGTTTAACAATGACTACCTAATACACTGTTTGCTGTACTGTGGGATGAGGCCGATACTCTTTTCTTGCAGAGGTGTTGGAGCTGGTAGAGTGTAGGCTAAGGGGCAATTGCAAACACTAAGTAATAAATTGCAACAGGTCCCATAAACTCTATTGATGTGACAGTTAAGACTTACAAAGCAGCTGTCATTGACTTGTATGTATTAAAGACAAATAAAAATAACACTGATTGACTGTTTAGTATGTTCTAGGCTTACCATTTTATATGTATTATTGAATGTATTATTACTTTTATTATCTCCATTTTGCACACAAGGAAACTGAGTCTTAGAATGATTAAGAAAATTTTCCAAGTTTATAAAATATGAAGTAGTAAAGTCATTATCTACACTAGGATTGGATAATAAAGTAAAATAGAAATCATGAAATTACAGATACATACCCAAATGATATACACACATATATACATGTTCACACACATTTAAATTTGCCAAAATTATTTTATGTAGCTTACTATAGGGGACTCTAAGATTAAGAAAATAGACAAGGCATGTTAATGATGTAAATTCAACTTCTGCTGATCATCAAATGGGAAAACAAAAGACCACTCTTCTTTTTTTTGGTACTGGGATTAAATCTCTAAGGCCTTCACACTGAGCCACATTGCCAGCCCTTTGTTTTATTTTTCATTTTGAGACAGGTTCTTGCTAAGTTGCTATGACTGAGCTTGAACTTGTGATCCTTTTGTCTCAGTTTCCCAGAGTGCTAGGATTACAGGATTGCACATTATGCCCGGCTGTGTTGGCTTTTTTCAGTGTCATTTTACCCAGGTAACCAAGAGTTGCTTCTATTTTCATAACCGTACATTACAAAAATTAAGCTCTGTGCAAACTATGACTTTTAATTTTTGAGCACCAAAAATGGAATTTAAAGTTTCTTGATAGTTATTCTCAAATGAAATATACAAATAAAAAAGTATTTCTAAAGTGGTAAAATATTACATTAAAGTTAGCTCTAAGCCCTTTTTTTGTTCACTTACTTAGTCCTGAGGCCCTATCACACATGAGACTGGAATTCTTTTGATTCACCCAGGAGTAGGTAATTTTCCTTTTCTAGCATTTGGTATGCATAAGTGCCTAGCACATAGAATAAATTTCAGCAAAAGAATACTGAATAGGCCTCAAATGTAACATGATACTCAATACAAATGTACCATCGTATGCAATATGTATTTTTTTTAAGTGTCATTTTTCCAACTTTCAAGGTTCTGTAGACATGCCAGTTTGTCAGTGAGTTACCTCAATGTAGTTATGTGCTTGTGTGTCAGTTCTGGTAAGGTAGCAACCCACACCATCACACATCTACAAACTAAAATGAAAAACCTGGGGTATGATGTGCTAAGACTAAGTCACAGACATCCACACTCAAGTGGACTCTGGAAGAAATTAAATCCCATAATTTTCATCAATTTCATTTTTCTTTCATGACTATATGCTTTATAATAATATATCTACACAGTATGCATAAATATACATACACTAAGGCTATGTGTTCATTTTACTGATAACAGTAAGTAATTTAAAATTTCAAGTTTGTAGCCCTAAATAATTCTGTTAAGCTAAGCATAATTTGACAAAAATATTTTTGCAACCATAATAAAATAAAATGTGCTTTTTTTGGGTGCGGTTTTGGGATCCAAGGCGGAGTACTAGTATATAATTCACAATCTTCACCCAGGAATATAGCAACTCTTGTTGATTTTTTTTCTCTTTAACAAGGAGCATGTGAAATCCTAAGAAAGTTTTTCCTCCATCTGCCTCTTATCCCTGAAGTTTTTAATTTGGAAGGAAGGGCTGTCAAGTTACTTAGAACACGTGCTGGGTATTAAAAGTTCTAGGTTTAAGTTTCTTCTTTACTGGTATTGTGTAATATCAAGCAGCTTATCTAGATTGGTTCCTCCATCATTTCTCTTATGAGTAAGAGAGAAATAATAATACTTATCAACTACTTTAGAGCAACGTAGTGTGGATAAAGGACACTCTGTTCTTTCTATAAACTAAACGCAGAAGACTGTAAATTTTTATACTGTTTCTTTCAAAAATTATTTTCCTTTTTTTAAAAAAACCAAAAACTCATCCCATTTCTAAACACTACTTTGTTTTCTAAACTTCAAAAACTCAGATTTTCTGTGTATTTGTTTCTCTTTTCCACTCTTTAACAAATACATACGCAAATACTCATTTGATAGCTTTACGGTGTGAGAGAAAAATCTTAAGATCCATCAAGGAAATAAAAGGAGACTAGAAGTAAGTTTTTGTATTCAGTTTTAAGTTTTAAAAGCTATGCACCTAGGTTATTAAATCATAGTGTTTGTTTAATCTTCAAAATGTTCATTTTTAAGAATAACTCACTGCTAAAAATAAAGGACCCTAGGAAAACATTTGGGTTCTCAGATAATGGCTGGCACATAGTAGATGTTGAGTAAACATTTAATGAAGTGACTCTGGGAAAATTTTATTCTAATCTTAAAACAAAAACTAAAATTAACTCTAATCATTTAAAGAAACTAAATTATGTGCTAAACTACTGAGAATTGAGTCTAAAATGTATTCCCTCTAATATCCAGTTTTTGCTTTTTCCCAGCAACCTGTTGACTTATTTATATCAGACATTAAACATAATGTACTAATGATGCATCATAAAAAAGCTTTAAAACCAGGTATCAGATCAGTGTCTCAAAAATTCACCCAACGTAATATTCACAAATGATGGGCGATATGTATATATGGACATATGCTCATATCCATACATACTATAAAAATATAAATCTTGCACATATTGAACCAGAAGGCCTATTTTTAAGGCAAAGTGTCAACAGTTAACGTTCCATGACTTACTCTACATTACGGTACAGTTTGCATACCCACACAGGTGATCTCGGGCCTCTGACTAGCTAAAAGTAGACTATTTTAGCGAAGTGTTTATCTTTGTTTCTGTCTGAGGTATTGATTTTCTGAATTTACCTACGAATGGGGGATTAACAACCTCAATGCATTATAGTCCTAATAAACTTATCATGCACTATTTTGGCCTAAGTGATAGCTAACCCACTGACAAAAGAAATCCAAGCTGATAAAACCTTTCTTAGCCACTTGTTAGCCAAGCCAGTCTGTAAAATCATAATACAATGAACGCCTCTTTCAAGGGGCACCATAAGGCAGCGATCAAAAAACCCCCTTACTTCCATATCCAGTGGAGTTGTAGTTTATTACCATAACCCTCCCAAGTCAAAAGGACACCAGATCCAAGCCTGGCAACTTGGCGCAGACAGGGTTTCATCTCTTTCCTCCACTCTGTTGGGCCTCTCTACCTGTCCTCTTCGTACTGTCTACAGGTCCCGAACATTAAAAAATAGAAAATGTGATGATCTTTGTGTGTCTCTGTAAAATGTGTGTATGTGTGCGTGTGTTTGGGTGTAACGGGCCTTCTGTTTGGCTGCGCGGCCTGCCCGTCACGGCGAGGGCCAATGGCAGGCTGCCTTATATAAAATGAGTGTTTTCAGTCTCTCCGGGTTGCATGTACTGTATGTGGAGCAGTGTACAGTGAAGCGGAGGCAGAGCGGCTCCGCGAGCTCCTCTCCACTTTCCCATAGAGAAACCCTGACTGGCCGCCGAGGGTGAGCCACTCACACGCCCTCACGCCCGGCGAGCCCGCGAGGTAGGCGCCCCCCATCCGCAGCCCTCCGCGGGCGCTCTCCTCGCACTTTCTGTTTTCCTACTCACTTGCGAGCAGCCGGGCTGCAGCCCCAAGGACTCCGCGGTAGGAGCAGCGGCGGCAGCCGGTAGGGTGGACTTGAGGAAGACGGAGGGAACCCCGCGCGTCCTGAGCCGCCGCCGCCAGCCGGCCCGCGCCGGGGCACTTTCCCCCGCCGCCAAAACTTTGGGTCCGAGCGAGAGGTCGGGGCGAGGGTCGCGGCCGCGCGGCGGGCCCGGGGGCGGGGGCGCGGAGGCAGTGCCCCGCGAGCGCGAGGCTGGGGGCCGGGCTGGGGAGGAGTAGGCCAGCCGGTGCCAGGCTGCGTTTGCAGGCAGCACCTCTCGGCGCCCGGGCAGCGCCGCCCGAGGGGGCACGGGGCTGGGGCGCGGGCTGAGCGCCCGCCTGAGGAAAACAACAACAGCCCTCCCGCCGGCGGCAGCTCGTGGCCGCCCGGGGAGCCCCAAACTTCATCTCGGCGAAAGTACGTGAAGCCCAGCCCGGGCTCGGCTGCCGGGGAGGTGGGGCCTGGGGCGCAGGGGCAGCGGAGGAAGGTACGCGGAGCAGCCCTCTCGGGCTCGTGCAACGCTTCGTGCACGGTGGTGACCGCGAGCAGCAGCCCGGCGGCTCTTTCATCTGGAGAGTTGGGATTTGGGTGTTCCGGCCCCGCGGATCGGTGCCCTCTCACCCCCACCCTAACCAAATGCGCGGCGAGTAGAGAAAGTGCTGTTTTAGTGCCAGAATAGCCTGGAGGAAGAACTGGAGAGAAGGGGAAGAGGGTGAGAGAGAAGGGGAGAGAGGGGAGGGAGGTAAGGGGGGGGGCGAGAGAGAGAGAGAGAGAGAGAGAGAGAGAGAGAGAGAGAGAGAGAGAACGGGAGGGAAGAGAGAGGAGGGGGAAGAGGAGGAGGGAGGCTGTGTCAGGATTTTGCTTGAATGTGGGATTATGTTGTGTCAATAAGTTTAAGGTGGAGAGAGCCAGGCTGGGGGTGGTGGTGGAGGGGAGGAGGAAGGCCTTGGATGTTTAAAGTCTCATTTCTGAAGGTAAGTTATGGCATTGCTTAGTCGCGATGACAGAAAACTTGCAGATCCTTTATCCGGGGATGGGGTCGATCCCTCTAGAAAGAGCTCCCAGCCCTCTGAAGCTCCACTCGTGTTACACTGTTATTTGCTGCGATCCGGGTCGCCTAGTAAATTACAGAAATCAAGACTCGAGGTTTCTTTTCCTCCACCTAGTCTTGCTCACTCACCCTCAGAAATGTTATTTATTTTTTTAAAATTATTTGGGGGTTATTGGATGAAACTTAACTGAGCTCAAACTCAAGTCCTGTAATTTACAAGGACCCTTGAATTCAAGAATCTGGAACACGTTTATGTGTGAAATATCCGCGATCATTTCTGCTAAATGAGGAAGGTAAAACGAAACGATGCAAAAGCTAAGACACAACATGTACGACAGGGAGGGGGGAGGGAGAGACAGAGAGAAGCTATTTTTTGCTTTCCTTTCTGTAGAAAGGAAAATAAAGCGTGCAATCCCTTCTTTCCCAGTGTGTAGGGTCTAGTCAATATTTTAACTGTCGGAGGACAAATTAGTCCAGGTGGATCTTGTTGAAAAGTTTCGCGAGGTGGGGTGGAGGTGGCGGGGACCGAGAGGGAGGTGGGTGGAGGTTGTGGGGGATGGGGACAGAGCGAGCTCTGCCTCGGCTAATGGTCATTGGCCTGGGGCTTTGAAACCATTGCCTGTCCTGCTAATGACACGTCCAGTTCTCGTCTCCCCGCCACGGACGCCGGGCTGCTGTTCCCGGGGTTGGCGGACGGGGACCAGGGTACTTTCCCCGCGCGGAGAGGGGCGCTCTTCGCCATCCCCAGGGGCTGCCCACTCGCGGCGTGGGGCCTCCCCACGCGCGCCTTCTCTGCTGCGCGCCGCCGCCACCTCTGCTTGCTTGACTTTCGTAGCCAGGCGGCGGTCTGGGGTGCAGGGGTCCCCGGCGCGGACGTCCCCGCGAGGCCACCCGGCGCCTAGCCCCACGCGTGCCGCGCCGCGCCGCACGGTCCGACCCCGGAATGGTAGCGCCGGGCCGGGCGGCGGCGGTGTCTCCCTTGGGGGGCAGCGGAGGTTGAGGCAGTGGCGGCGGGATCTTCGCCGGGCCCGCGGGAGGAGTGGAGGAGGAGGAGGAGAAGGAACAGGAGGAGGAGGAACAGGAGAAGGAGGAGGGGAAGGAGGAGGAAGAGGAGGGAGGGAGGCGTTTTCTGCCCAGACCGCCGCCAGTTCGGGCGGGCACCGGCACGGGGACACCCCACTCGTTGCTCCTCCGTTGTGGAAAGGTGTTTAGTTGACTTTTACGCCCGGAGTGTGGGATTTGCACTTCATTCTTTCTCTGCCTCCTCTTCCCCAAAGCAAGATGGACTCTATTGCCTTTCTCTTTCTCTCTCGGTCTCTGTCTTGTCAGCCCTTAAGATCGACATTTTGTACTAAGATGCAAAGTTGATGGTGACCAGCAACAAAGCCAGGGTGGGATCCCTCGCTCCCTTCTTTCCTCCCCGTTTCTTAGCTCCCCCCACCCCACCCCGACCTCGCAGACCTGGTGGCCCTGCGCTTGCTTGTAGCCGTGGGCTCTGGCGAATGTTTTCCCCGTCGGTCGGTTCCGATCTCCTATCTCAGGGTTGTGACCTGGCCAGGCTTTTGGGAGATGGCTGCGGGCCGCCGGGGTCTGCAAGGCTGAGGACTGCAACACCTGGACCCGCAGGCAGCAGGGCACCTCTGCGGGTCCTGGGCGAGGCAAGGCTGGGGCTCCCTCTGGATGCTATGATTTGGTTACTGGTATATCCGTCCAAGGGGTGGTGATCACTTACGCAAGTTGATAAATGAGCGCTGTGTGGGTTTTGCATTTGCAGAATAGATGAACTTTCTGCCTTATACTGACAAGGGAATAGGAAGTAAGGGTGCCAGAGATATCCTGGAATGCCAGCCTGGCTGCCTCTCATCCTCTGCCCTTGGAGTAGGGGCCGCCACTTTCCCTTTCCTGCCCCTAAGGCTGGGCTCTTGCCTGGGGGAAGGTGGAAAACAGAGGAGGGATTGGTAAGACGCTGGAGTTCTGAATTTTGGTGTCCTTTCTTCATAGGTGGTACAGGACTTGGAACTCTGCTATCCTAAAGCCATATCATACTGATGTTCCTTTATTTGATACTTTATAGGTCACTATCATATGACAGAGGCTTTGCTGCAGGTCATCTTCCTCCCTGTGTACTGCCATTTACCTTCCTGGGTAAGTATGTTAACTCTTCATACAGGAAAGTTCAATGACTATTGGTAATGACATGAGAGTCCTTATTGTTCACATAGCAAGATGCTTTATTGAGGTTAAAATACCTCAGAAATCTTATCTGGATGAGTTTCTTACAGCAGGAGTGAGTTGATGATTCTTAGTCTTTAAGAGTTCAACTGTAGGTTACTATTATTTTAAGATCATTTAAATGTTCATTTCCTATTTATCTGCGAGCATCATTTAAAAACTTATTTTTAAAGCAATGTCTTAATTAATAATGAAATTTTATATGAAGTTGAAGGCCTGGTGAATTTGTTGGACAATACTATAAAAACCCAGTGATGAAGTGTTGTGCAAAAGGCCTCTCTAATTGTAGTGATTGATGTTTGATTCTTTTCTTCTAAGTTCTCTTCTTGACTAATCTGTTTTTAACACTTACTGTTGAGTTAGGAAAGGTTAGATTGAACAATGTAGAGAACTGGTACTTAGTGCACTTGATTCAAAATTGACCATTATTTCCTTCAAAATATATGTATTCGGAGAAATTAGGAACATATTGAATAATTAGCAAATTTGAGATCTGTTAAGTGCCTTTTTCCAATAATGTATATGCCTCCAAAATGAAAAAATAAATGAAATACACATAGAACAGACAAACTTTCAACTTTGATTCTCCATTGTGAAGAAACTTCAGATATTCTTGGTTGCTGATATATTAAGAAAATCATTTTATAAATCAGCTGTGGTGTTTTGTGACATTATCATAGTGAATTTAGAAATTGTGTTTTGTGAATGGAAATGAACTTGTATTCAGTTTTCCATGGAGTAAAATTCAGAGATCATATTTTTTTTTCCTAGCTTGTGTACATTAGTAAAATGTCTTAGTATTAAGGGAAATTTGAATAACAGTCCTTAGTAATAGTCTCCATCCTGCTAAAATATGCTTTGATATTAATGGGGACTTTAGATAATCTGTATAAGTCCTGTGTCCAACATTTTTTATAGAATGTCCATGTTAAATTATTATTCATGATTAGATAGTTGATTCAATTAGAGATCTCATGTCACATGTTTAACAAACCAGTAGGACGGTTGGGATGAGGTTGTTCTATAGGATGAATTTAGTGTACACCAAAATACATAGATTTTAATGCTTTTGATTTTTTTTTAACACTCGTTTGGAAGAAAAGTTTTTCGTGTTTGAACATAGGGTAATAATATTCAAAATGCATTCTTAATTACTAAAGAATACCACTACACTTATATATATATATAAGGCATATTATTTTGTTCACTACAGCAAAGTTTTAATGTTCTTTCTTTCCCATGGAAATATATTTGATCAGTTCAGACATTTATATGGGAATCAGTATCAGAATAAAAGCATTCCAATGAGCTCTTGCCAGTTCTTCAAGATATCAAATGACTGCCTCATTAAAACTATTTTCAAAAACAGTATTAGTCTTTGAAGTCAGTGAGGTAGTTTTGAGAGTGTAAAACTCTTTAAAAGTCACCTTGCCAGTGAAGTAGCAGTTATTTTTGTCTCAAATGTATTTACTAGATATAAAGCTTACTTATCAAAATAAGAATTTAAAGTTTTTGCTTCATCAAGAGTTTCAGTTTATTCTGCGTATCTATTCTAAAACTGAGGTTTTAATTTGAATTTCAAATTTAATGCTAGCTATTAGAAAGATGGCTCACCTATAGTTTCCTAATGTTGAATCTTTGGAGGTACTGGAGTAATTTTGGGAGGAACTTTCTATTAGAGAGATTTAGATATTTTGAAAAATTTGCAGTCTGTAGACTTAAAGTATGTATCTTGTTCTTTGCATGCATTTTTTAAAAGTGTCAGATATAAGAGCTTGTGAGATGTCTTGGCCTTTAATATACAAAGACCAATAGGTCCGAAAGTAATGGTCCTCTTATTAGCTAAATTATAATGAAGCTGTATTTTTCAGTATAATTACAGTACTTATTAGTTGTTAACTAGCATAAAGTATCTTTTCCTATGTTTCACAAATCACATGATTAAAAATTATTTAGCTCTTGCGCTGACCGTCAGTTATTTTTATACTATAAGTCCCGTAGTACCGCTATTAAAGTAATAATGGTTTCACAGCTCAATTCTATTATAAAAAAATTTCTTCCATATTTTTTTTTTTTCGTATCAGGAATTGAACTCATAACCTTGCACTTGCCAGGCAGACACTGTGCCTGCTGAGCTTTATCCCCATCCTAAAAACACTCTTTGGAAATGATCTCATTACAGATGTGCCTTTCTTTCAAGAAATCCCTGACATTACTATTAGTTTCTCACAAAAGTGCAGACAGTGTTTATAGTTGTGATATTCAAATTAGTGTAGGCAGTTACTGCATTATCACCAAGCAGAGTACCTGAAATTTAAGATACAAACTTAAGCGGGTGCTTGATTTAAGACAGAGACATCATTTGAACTTGTAACTTGAAGTCTACCTCACTTCCTAACATTTTCTCAGCAAGAGCAGCTGTTAAAATAGGTCTGAGTAGTACCTCGATATTTTTAGTGAGATTGTTTTTTCTTACTATGAAAAGAAAACGAATCCAACATTGGTGAAATATATATGATTTCACCGCATCATTTGTAATACGTGGCCTCCGTAAGTCAGATATGGGTCCTCAGGCTACACTTGGAGAAGCACTGCATGGGAGGAAGTAGGGGCCAAGGCTAAGACTCTGGAGCTTCTTCTGGCCTGAAGATTTTGTGACCATTATTCAGTCAGTTCATTTGTATTACCCCAAGGGCAGTTATCACGTACTGTCTCGAACTGCAGATATTTCTATATTTTTAAGTCACACCTGAGGAAAGTGCTCTGTACAGTTTTACTCAGTATTCATAAGTCATCACATTATCCTTTAGAAGGCAATTACAGTTCCCTGCACTACCTATACACTGTACATCATTTTAAAATTACAGACATACAGCTAGAAAATCCTCGTATGTTAAAGGGGATTGTTTTCATTTTTTTTTCAAAGGGAAAAGATATGGTCGGTTAAGTGCCAGTTACACAAGGGAATGCCAAAGAAAGCAAGCCAGTAAGCAGTTCAGCAGTTCTATCTGAAAGTATGTTAACAGAAGAAGAAAGAATGAAGGAATGAAACACTTAAACATTAAATACCATGAAGCATTGACATGCCTACGAGAATATAAAGTTAAATTATATGAATCAGTTCAGAGACGTTAGAGGTGAAGTAATATCATGTTAGAGGTGAAGTGAGGAGATTGTGTAAAAAAGTAAAAATAACAAATTGAATTTTTGAAATCTTAGAAAAATGTAAAATACTGTAAAATGTTGGTTAGATAATTAAACCAATGGGTAAGCATGGTCTTTAGGTGAAAAGTTCAGGAAGCACAACAGAAACTTTTGGAATAGAATAAATAAGATCCTATACATACAAAGTTGTATTTTATAAAATGAATAGTTAAGTTTTTAAAAAGGTAACTTATTTAAAAGGACAAATGAGAATAAAAATAGTCTTAAGTATATTTTACTGAGATGTATGGTAACCACCTTTTATATCCCAACCCTGAAACAAGTTTCCTGAAACAGCATAAAGCATAGTGCCCTCTAATATTTTCTACTCCTGCATAATCATAATTTGAATCTGTTCCAAGCCATTCTTTTAAATAAAAAGTACTATCATCTGCTAAATTGAACTTAATACTTACAGTTTGAAAAACATCTACCTAGAGTAACACTGGAGGTCTGTAGGCCCCATCTCCAGATCCTGGGTCCAGGAAATTATATTTTAGCTAGTGAAGCAGGTAGGAGTTTAGAGTGTGACATACTTTGAGAAACTTATGTAAGGGAAAGATGGCTAAAGATTGGATGGAAATCATGCTGCGTTCGTTGACTGCTGAGGTCTCTTCCAGTTTCACTCTTCTGTGGCTGTATTTCAGCCAGCATAGTTACAACGTGGAGAGAGTCATCAGCACCTTCTGCAGAGATTGCCATAATAGCAAGTATAGAACAGAGAGTAGAATGCTAGATTCTACTTCTTCCTCAGGGACTTTGAGCCTGTCACTTCATGGCTCTGAAACTTCCGTTATTGTGTGTGTAAAGTAATGTGAGAATTAACATAAGCCAATAGTATAAGTAATGATACTTATCCATAGTCACACTTAGTACACTGTATATACTGTCTGGCTGTGTAGTTAGTAACTCAGATTCGCCCGGCCCCCAGTGTCTGAAATTTGTACAAGCTCTGCTTTTTCACTTTTATTTTTTCAACTTAGGTATCAGAAGAGACCGGTGCTTTTTCTTTTTTTAGCCTGATGTGAGGTTCTGGATAAGTAGTTAGAGAAGGAAACAAGAAGAACTTGGCGGAAAGCACAGTGGGAGCATATCCTATGAAAGTACAGTTGCTCCTTCAGGTGAGGGGCGTGGCTTTCCCACCTCTTTAAAAAAATCCCAAGCACAAGGCAGGAAACAACTTTTTATGTTTCAAAGTGGTTAGCTGACAGCACTGATTGTTTTCTGTGGTGACTGTGATCCATACTGGGGTGGCTTAGAACATCAGTTCTCAAAAGTCCATCCGTCAAGATGTACACGACTGATGCTTACACATTCCTAAGGATTTTAAATACGGGATTGTGATGCTATTATATCCTTGGTCCACAGAGTGAATTTTATCTGATATTCCCACCCATTTAACCTGATGAAAATTTTTGCTAATTTTGATCATTGCTCATCTGAATATTTTGAATTCATTGATAACCAGCAAATTCCAGAAGAATTTTAAAAACAATCCTTCAGCTGAATCTATTGAAACCCAGTGGCTCCAAATATGAGTTTGAGACTTAAAAGTCAGCTAAACAAAAAAAGTAGTTAACATCATTTGTGTCCACTAAATTGAGCAGAGTGAAAGTCTCCTGGATAAGGAAAGCTTAAACACACACACAAAAGCTGAGGCCCGCATTTAAATAAGCCTTAGATATTCTGTTTTGGCACTGTGATTCCTT